CTATTTCAAAGAGCCACAAATTAAAAACCAATTATGCAAAGCTTGCTAAAAAAAATGTCAGTGGGCTGCCTTTATGTTTTAAATCACTAAAAACACAAGCGTGCTTACGCCAACATTTACCCAGCACATCAGATGATTTGGGGCAACTCTGTATGCTCAGGCTAAACATAGGCGAACATTTTGGTGAACAAACTCTGGGACGACCACCTGTGGCTGAGAATGAGCACACCTTCCAAGAGCCCCCTATAGTCCATGGACTCAAATTCACACCCTGTCAAAGGTGAAACCCCCATAGCTGCTCTGCAGGGCCCCTACAAAAGTCGGGAAGTGACCAGTGTGAAATTGCAAACAGCGAAGTCTCCCCTGCCCTGAAGATGACAAGGACGTGGATCCAGTCGACATGTGGAATACAGGCTGGAAAGGCAGTCCATGATGGAATGTGCACACCTGAGTCCTCAAGGTGAAGCCCTTGGAATGCTCCCTGACAAGGATCAGAAGAGCCCGAGGAGAGGTATGAACGGTGAAAGTCAGGTTCCCAAATGTAGCTGAGGAATCTCTGAGCCTACTAAATATACACCCTCCCTGGACTCTGCCCTCATAGTTTCTGAGCCTATGCACCCAGGGTGCGGACCTGGAAATCTGTATTTATTAAAAGTTTTCCAAGTGGTTTTGATGATTAGCCAAGTTTTAGAACTAATTGGTTTTTCATTGTGTTCCTTTTTTTTTTTTTTTTTTCCTGCCTAAAGCCACTTAGGCGCAGTAGTAGAAAAACAAATGGACAGTGCTTGGAGATAAGAATGAAAGATATAGAAATCAAGGAATAGAAAGTTTAAGTGACTTGTTAAATCAACATAGCTAATTAATGTTTAAACCAACAAGCACGTATCCAACATGCAGTCTATACAAGGCACTGCACACAGTCTAGTAGAAATAAAAGGAAATGTAAGATGTCCTCCCTGTCTTGGGGGCCTAAACACATGACTCAGGCTCAAAAGCAGGCTGTGTGTAAGGCAACAGGGAGTAGTGGAGACTGTGGCAAATTGCAGGTACTAATATGGTGAGCACTTGCTACTCAGCTCCAGCTTCTTGGTGCTTATAAGGGTGTGGGCCTAGAGAGGCCAGATCTTCTGGATTTTTTTTTTTTTTAAGGAGCCAGAAAGTCCACATTTCCTGGCTTTTAAATATAACAACTCATTCAATTAAAAAAAAAAAAAGGCAAAAGAACAAGAAAGAAAACCACATCATCAGGGCCAAATGAGATTCATCCGTAGGCTGACTCCTGCCCATGGAATGACAGTTTGCAGCCTCTTTCCTAAAAGGTCACCCAGTCCAAACTCCCTTGTACTCAAATCTCCTCTAGAGCCTGGCAGAATGGCACAGAGGGTGAGGGGTCGGTCCCATCCAGCAAGTTAAGAGCTTGGGGTATGTGTGTGTGCGTATGTGTGTGTGTGTGTGCCCATATGTGTGTAAGGGTGGGGCTTCTGGCCTCCCTGCCTTCGCTACTGGAAAGGGATTCCAGGCACAGGGTGTGGCTGCAGCAGCACACTCGGAGATGCCCTGGGGAGGACCACGATCTTTAGGCCAGTAGGGGCTGGCTGGTTGAGGAGTCCCGGCTAGAAGGGGCTATATAATTAAAAAGGAAAGGAAAGAAAACTCTAGAGAAAGCTCAAGAGCACCCTGTCTTGAAAAGGAATATTGGAAAGGCAAGAAGAACAAACAGGCCAGGAAGAAGAATCAGCTCTAAAAATCCCATCCTCCAGAATATGACATCCCCAGATTCCCCAGCCAGCCAGCCAGCCAAATGAGCCCTCTGGCCACTCTCCATCTGCTTGCTTGCCTGAATCTGTCTTCACAATACTGACCACTACCTGACCTTTTACATTACATATTACTTTGCGTATTTGTATTTCTGGATGCCCCCAACTCTGATGTGCAGCTCCAAGAGAAGGGGGCTTCATTTACTTTGTGGTTCAGTTCGCAGGGCTTGGCACAGTACCGAGCACATAGTAGTTGCTTAGCAATATCTGCTGGACAAATGGACTGCAGCCAGCCTCTTGGCACCAAAATAGTTTAAGTGTCAGCCACATAATAATAACAACATCAGCACAAAGCACTTTATCATTTACAAAACCTGTTGTTTAACTTAATTCCCCCAATTTTCTTTTACCAAACTGCTTCGTGTGTTGGGCCACGGCCCAGGAGACCGCTGGCCTCTGCAAGGTGGACCGCCTGCAAGCCAGCTCGGGCAGAGCTGCCTGCACAGCAGCCGGGCTGGCTCTCTCTCCTGGGCCTGGGAGACAACGACGACAAGGCTGCAGGAGTGCAGGGCTCAGCACTAATGGGGCCATGTCATCAAAATGATCGAGTGTTGTGGAGCCAGGTTCATCCGGCCTCCCCAGCACAACAGCAGGCTGATTAGAAGCATGCAAGGCTATAGAGAGCCTGGAGTGGGTGGGCGACACAGCATAAAGTGAATGCTCTGGCTCTCTAAAGTCAGACTGCTGGGCTGATTTCCCAGCTACATGACCTTGACCTCGCTAAGTCTTGTTGACCTCATCCGTAATGTGGGCATAAACCATGACAATAACAATCCAAAGTGTTCAATGAGACACTTCACAAAGAGCACCCAGCACCGTGCCCAGTGCATGTCTCCCAGCAACAGAGACAGCACCACTCTAGCAGCAGCAGCAGCAGCAGCAGCAGCACCCCCAGACAGCCCCAGCTCTGCCTCCTTCCAGCAGAGTGATCCTGAGTGGCTTGACCTCTTCCTCCCTGGACCTCAAATCCCTCTTCTTTCAAACAGGGAGAACATAATCACCAGGATGGGGTAAGGAGGAATAAACAAGATCATAAGTTCAGGGACACCTGGGTGGCTCAGTGGTTGAGCATCTGCCTTTGGCTCAGGTCGTGATCCCCAGGTCCTGGGATCGAGTCCCACATCAGGTTCCTGGTAGGGATCCTGCTTCTCCCTCTGCCTGTGTCCCTGCCTCTCTCTTTGTGTCTCTCATGAATAAATAAATGAAATCTTAAAAAAAAAAAGTATATATATTTTTAAAAATCGTAACTTCAGCACTTAGCACTGGGCCTGGTGCATCTTAAATGCTTAATAATTGGGAACTAGTATCTTATTATTCTTCAAGAAACTTCTACTAGTCTAAAACGCCAATGTGAAAATCTTCCAAAGGCAGTTCGCCATATGCAAATAAATCTTGGGGACAGAAGGTTCTCCAGCTGCAAGTTTCTCTCCCCGTCTCCTTTATTTTTTAGTTGCTCTAAGAAGGACCCTCCCCCAATCTTCGGTCTGACCTAGGAAGCATTTGGAGGACAGCGCCCAGTGCGGGCTGACCTCGCTCCACGCCAGCACAATCTGCGCTGCTCCATCTGCCTCTTCGCCCCCACGGTGCCGCAGTCTGACAGCGAGGGAGGGGACATGCAAATACGCCCTAAAAACGGCTTGTTATTTTCACAGCCTGGATGGTGCGGCGTTTGTGGGTGCCTGTGAAGACAGCACGTCACTGTCAGGTACAGGGCATATGCCACCAATCTGGGGGAGGCTGTGAAATGTAAAAATACCCAACCCAAATAAAGCCCTTTTCCAAAGAAAAAGAAAGCTCCTCCGGTGCCCTTTGCAGAAAGGGAAGAGGTGGTAACTCAGCCCCCAGGCAAATCCCTGCTGGGCCAGCCCCTGACCAATGCACCTGGCTCTTCTATTGGTCCCACAGCCTCAGCACCCCAGTGAAACTGCTCAGCTGCTGGTTTTAAACAGCAATTATACTGTAACGACCCAGAAACGGATGCTTTCAAGTTATGAGCCTGGGAAGGGGAATAGCAAAAGACCAAAGACAAGGGCCCTCCATAAAGAAAACAGAGCACTAAAAAAGCCAGGAAGTGCTATTAACAGCACATTGATTTACAAAATCAACTCAGAAGAATAATATAATCACTATCAACTTTCATCTTGTACTTAACAGTCTTTAATGGGCACCTACAATGCACCTCATCCAGGTGTCTTCAGCGCAAATGTCTACAGCGGGAGCCAAGCCCATTAAGGTAAAGGAAGGCAGCTTGTGGTAACAAAAGCAAAACCAGCATTGTAAACAAAATCAAGAACAATAAGGAGGCGCAGGACCTGTGGCAAACTGGAGGGAGGAAAGAGGTGAGGTGGGACTCTGCATTCCATGTAGCTATTGCCAGGCCCGCACAGGGTACAATGTGACCAGATCTCCCAATTTCTTAATCAAAGATTAAAATCCAAATTTGCAGGTGAAATGTTGGTTCAGGTTTCTTTTAAAACACTGTGCGGGCCAAACAAAACACATCTGAGAGCCAGATCCAGCTCGCAAAGGGCCAGTCTGTCACCCCCTGACCAAGCCCCCAGTGGCCCCTCTTTGCAGTTTTGATGGTACTCCTGGGGTTTGGGGCAGGGTGAGCAGAGCAGTAGCTGCATAATAAACCCTATGCAGTACCCAGACACCATTACCCACTCAAGAGTCCCTCTCTCCTGAATGTCTAGCCCTCTGTGCTCCATGCTATGGGATGGACCCACATCCAGCTGCACCTTCCCCTATGAATGAGCTCCTATGCTTAGTGGCTTCCCACATCCTCCTCCCCTCCTCCCTCTCCCACCATTGGCCCCTTCTCCCTTCCAAGTCGGCAGCTATTCTGCAGGCTCTAAAGAAATGGCCCTGCTGGGGACTTCAGTGGGGCAGGTCTCTGGACAAACTGCCACCCCTGGGGAAGTGGCTGGGGGCGTGTACAGCACTGAAGCTCACCCACGCTGAGGACTTCTGCTTCTCACCAGTCCCCAGAGAAACGCTGCTCTTCTGCAAGGAAGGCTTGTGGGAGCTGCAGCCTCAAGGGACCCGAGGAGGGAGTGCTTCACCTGTGGGTCCTCTACAAACATCATCTAAAGCAGATGGTGCTGAGTGACTGCCACCATGCCCATCCCTGGCAGCTGCTGGGGGAAGAGATGCCACACCACCCCTTCCCCAAGTGCCTACCTTCAACTCCAGCCTGTGGCCAAGAGGGGTAGAGGCAATGATGTGACTAACAATAATAATCTTTAAAGATAATCCACGATTGGCATTCTCTTGTATAGTTTCCAAAGCATGTGCATGTTTCCACGATCTCCCCTGATCCTCCCAACATCGCAGAGAGACTGCCAATATATCATTACTCATTACTGTTATTAATCACTCTTTGCCCCTGGAAGAACCAGACACAGGTTCAGCATCCTGTCCTAGCCCAGAGCTTCTGAAACGGTAACACGTCCATGAATTCCCCCGGGGGGAGATTGCTAAAATGCAGATTCTGATGCAGAGGTTCTGGAGCGGGGCCGAGATGCTGCATCTCTAATGAGCTGCAGGGTGACATCGATTCTACTGGTCCTCAGACCCCACGCTGAGCAGCAATGCTTAGGTCACTCGGTGAACGTGGGCTAGACACTGGGGCTGTAACCCGGGCGTCCTATGCTTGGATTCTGCCGGGAGGAACAAGGCTTGCTCACCTCACTTTTCACGGGTTGGGGCCTCTTGCCCAGTTTCACCTCCAGGAAGTGCAAGGGAGCGATCATGGCCCCAATGTTACGGATGTCGGCGTATTTCAGCTCCTCTGCAGTCAAAGCCGAGCCAGGGAGTCCGGTCAGGGGGCCGAGCCCTGGCAGAGAGCCCGCAGTCACGGAAGGGTCTGGAATCTGCCCAGGCATCATAGCAGGAGGAGCGGCAGCCCAGCCTGGAGTGGGTGGGAGAAGACAGGACATACATCGTCAGCCAGGTCTGGGGATCCATGAGGGGCTTCAGCCCCCACGCCTGGCTGGGGTCTCTTCTTTCCTTTTACTAACGTTGCCCTGAACCCCTTCCCCACCCAGTTGCTCCTCCTGCCCTTAAGTCCATTCTGTTATAGAGGGGAGCTCTGATCAATTAATTCCCATCAAAGTTCTTCATGGCCCGGAAGGCAACGCTTAACCCAAGCACAGGCCACATCGATTCAGTATTTGCTATGTGCTTGGCACTGCGGTAACCCTTCCAATAGCCCCGCGAGACGGAATCAGACCCATCACACAGAGGAAGAAGCCAAGGCTTAGATAACTCGCTCAAGACTGTACACAGTTGAAAGTGGAGTAGCCAGGATTTAAACTGCAACATACTGCCGCCGAAGAAAACGGGTTACAATGGTGGGATCTCAAGCACCTTCGCACCTGTTTGAGAGGGAGCTATTTTTTGCTCTGGCACGGTGCCTCCCCTCAAATCACACATCCCTTTCTGCATACTTGTTAAGACACCCTGAATACGAAATGAAGCAAATCGAAGTTCAAGGTAAGTGTGTGTGTGAGTGTGTGCATCTGGTGTCTATGGGGAAGATACTGAGGCAAAGATGAAGTACATGAGCATGTGCTTTCCCAGTGGAGCCTGGGGATCAGAAAAGTCCTCCCAGTCCCTTCTTTCTCAAAGCAAATACATATTCCTGCTCTGCCAGACCCAGGAGGTGTGCAAAGGAAGACAGATTCAGGCATGAAAGAAAGGACTAAGTTAAACACGGCAATACCAGAGAATTCTTATTCCGTCTTTCTGCTGGGAGAAGCTCGCGGATAAGAAATGGTCACTTCAGGACACGGCAGTAAAGAGAGCATGTCTGCCCAGAAATCCAGGCTTATCTGGTCCTTTACAGGGCTCATATCTATCCATCCATCCAACCATCCATCCATCTATCCACCCACCCTTCTCATTGTTGACCACCAAGAGCCAGGAGGCACTGAGAATATGGAGATCAGATGTTTACAGCCTGGTAAGGCACATTTTAGTACGAAGCTGCTCCTGGATTCCAGTCCTGCAAAGGGAATGTCTCTCCCTTCCCACCTTTCTTCACAGGGCCAGAAAATCAAAACCTCAACTGGCCTGGAAATCCTGGGGGAGCTTTGTCCTACCCTTCCATCTCCATCAGTCTCTTCCCATGGAAAGGGATGTTTTTGGTGGGACAGGGGAGATGTGACATCCATTGAACCACACTTCCCTCCTGGGAGGAATTAATGTTCTCATATGGCCACTGTCTTGGGCTTACTGCCTCCTGTAAGAGTGGCCCTGGGGGGGTAACCCACAACTCTCTTTCCCCATGAAGGCTTCCAGGTATAGATTGCAGGAGAGGAGTCCACTAGGGAGCCCCTTTTGGCCACAAGTGCATACCATGTTCTCCATCTCTGTTTCTCTTTTAAAGGCGAAACTTGGGAGCACCTGGGTGGCTCAGTCCATTCAGTGTTTGCCTTTGGGTCAGGTCATGACCTCAGGGTCCTGGGATGGAGCCCCATGGTGGGCTCCCTGCCCAGCAGGGAGTCTCCTTCTCCCTCTCCCTCTGCCCCCCACCTCCACTCCACTTGCGCTCTTTTGCTCTCTAAGTAAATGAAATCTTTAAATAATAATAATAAACAAAGGTGAAATTTGGTTCCCTATACAACCCTGTGTCCCTTTCTCAATAGGTCCTGCACTCTGATGGGAAAAGCATGAGAGGGGTTTGTACCCTCAAAACACAAAGACTTCTGCTGGACATCACTTTCCTTAAAGACACGTGCATGTAAATGAACAGCGGACCTGCCATTTCGCCAACAGTACCCCAGGGCACCTGCCTATGAAGCTGTTTGCACTGAGCTCCCTGCTGCGTATCCGAGATCATGAGATACCCCAAGCCCTTTGTCTGTTCTCCACCTGCTCTGCCTCCCACACCCAGGTCCTCTCCCCTCCTTAGCACCTAGTGTCCCCCGGACCATCTCAGAAAAGGATCTGAGACTCATTCACATCAAGTTATAGTCTTAGAGCTGGAGGAGGCCCTGTGCTTATCTAAACCACATCCTCATTTTGCACATGAGGAAATTAAAGCTCAGAGAGGTAAAATGACTTGCCCAAGGTCACACAGGGGGAAAAGCCAAGGCTGGACTCCTGGTCCCTGGGTTTTAGAACCAAAACTTTCTCACCCTGTCCTTTCTGTCTCCCCTCCTAGGGTTCAAGAGATATATATATATGCAGATATTAATGACCTTTTAATGATGGACTTTGAGACACTAGCCCCTAATAAAAGATCACTCTCTTGTACAGAGGACCCTCTACTCTGCCTTCCATGCAGATCTAAGTTTAGGAAATTCCCTGAATAACCCCATGGTACAACCAACTCAGCTTCTGTTTATTTTCATACAGATGGTATAAATGAGATACTAACAAATGATCCCAAAATATAATGGATTCTTTGCTACTGTGGAACCCCTTCAAAGTGGTAAGCACCCCCTGGGAGCAGCAGCCCCATAAATTCTTGTCATTCCTGCTCCCCTGTGAACCCATCCCAGTGGCAAGCCTCACTCAGAGGTAGCCTGGATGGGAGCCTAGACATGGCCCCTGAGACATCCCATATGTGCTGGGTCAAGGTGTTATGACCCTCCCTAAACCTGAACTGGACTGAAGTCACCCCGCCACACTCCAGAGCCAGGCCTGCAATGCAGAGAGGGCTGCAGGTTTCCACACCAGAAGGTGGCTCTGGAGCAGAGTGGATGAGCTACATGTTTCCCAAGGCCTCCTCCAGGGAGAATGAGAAAGGGGCCAATGGAAGGATTCATTCCCAGGTGGCAAAGTGATGCCTGGGCCCAGCCATGTGAACACTTGGCAAGCAGAGGGGAGTGATTTCAGGCTATCTGATCTAAACTGACAAAGGTCACTCATATCGCGTTTCCAGAAGAGGAGAGAACCTTCCAAAATCTGCTCTGCCAGACCTGAACTGATGCCACAAGGAGTCAGTGATCCCACCCCCCCACCCCCCAAAAGGATGCTTGAGCTAGTCAAAACAGACAGGCAATGAAAGGCTGGGAAATGCTCTGTGCCTGGTGCTTCAGCTAGACACAAACACTTAATGGGATGGGGACACCACACCTCCGGTGTGCAGCCAAGCAAAAATACAGAGCAAATTCTCCTGCTTGGCCAGAAGCCCCAGAACCTTCTCATTACTGTAAGAGCCAATTCCTGTGGGGGCAAAAGATGCCATGTGGCCACTCAGCAAGCATAGGGGTGATTTCAAGGCAGAAGCCCCAGTCATGGCTGGTTGCTGTCCCATGGCACCCCAGTGCCTAGCATCATTGCTGGCACAGAAAGGGTAATCAACAAACACTTGCTGAGCTAATGCATAAATTAAAATGAATGAATGAATTAGTGAATGAATGAATGAACAAACAATAAAGAAGTCATGGTGGAGCAAAATTCAGTAAGTGGGGTAAGGATCTATCTCTGGGAGTTTAGATGCTCATTATCCACCTCCAGATTATTTGTTCCCACAGTAGACCCCAAGAAAAATACTCCAGAGGCTTCTGTATGTTTCCCCTGCCTAAGCCATCTCAGGAAGATGGAAGCCAGACCCCACTCTATTCCGGGAATGATAGGCTCTGCTTGCAGCTTCTGTTTATTTTCATACAGATGGTATAAATGAGACACTAACAAATGATCCCAAAATATAATGGATTCTTTGCTACTGTGGAACCCCCTCAGAGGGGTTAGTACCCCCTGGGAGCAGCAGCCCCATAAATTCTTGCCATTCCTGCTCCCCCATGAACCCATCCCAGTGGCAAGCCTCACTCAGAGGATCAGACGCCACGCTTTCCTCTGCAGAAGCAAAAAATCCCGCTCCTTTTTCTCCCCCCAACAAGGGCGCCCCTAACTGCTCAGATACAAACCACAAAGTCCTTAACACATGCCATTCCTAGCAGACAATCACAACAGCTGACATTCACCAGCGAGAAGTCATCCTAAACGGCTCTGGGGGGGGGTGGGGGGGTGTTGGGGCAGAAGATGGAGGAGCTGGAGCGGCTGCCTTTCATAACCGGGTCCTCATTAACTGCAAAGAGCTGGCTGACGATCCAAGGTTGAAAGGCAACTTTGGTGATTTGAAAAATAAAACAATTTGATGTGATTTAGAGATCTATAAAAATGGGGGCGGGGGGCAGTGGCAGAGACCCAACAGCAGCCAGGAGGAATTTACCCACTTCAAGGAAGACATAGGAAAGATGACAAGAGGTGAAATCATCTCCCCAACTGCTTGTTCCATACGGAAACAATTTAGGAGAAAAGGAGAGCTACGCACTAAAAGCTTTAGGGGAAGAACCCGGAGATTTTTCCCTTCAGGGCCCAGAAGGTCGGAATGGAAGATAAATATGCTCCATGTCTCCATTAGTAACTGTGATGCATAAATAAAGAGCAAGCTCTATATGTTGCCAGAAGACCAAAATTGGCAGATGGGGGTTGACCTCAAAAGACAGGCCCAGAATCCAAAAAGATCTGGGCGATTGGGGACATTGACCAGGAACAACTTGGAAACTAGCCAGCGAAGAAAAACTGGGTAATGCAAGGATCCGAATGAGACTGACAAGTAAGGCATGAATGAGATAGAAAATGCTCAGGAGGTCATAGTGGACCCTGAGCTGTTCTTGAGCCTAAGATTCGGAGAAATGTGATGCAGCTCCCTAAAAGT